GAGAGTCAGAGCTGAGGGAGTGCCGCACTGTCGGAGGGTCAGTACTGAGGGAGTGCCGCACTGTCGGAGGGTCAGTACTGGGGGAATGTGCTGCTTTCAAGAGCATATTGTTTTTGTTTACATAATCATTCAATGTGCTATGGATGGGGAATGGCAGGAGAGTGGCACTTAGTTATGATGCCGATTTGGAGAGCTAGTACAGATACAATGGGCCAAATGGCCTCCTTCTGCCCCATTGCAATTCTAGGATTCTGTGAATTGTCAAATGGTCAGTTAGCTGAGATGCTAAGCCAAGTTCTTATTGCCCTCTTGGTGGCTGTATAAAACCCCATGACATTATTTTGTAGTAGGATAGGAAGGTTCTACCCAATGTCCAAACCAATATTTATTCCTCAGTCAGTATCTCAAAATTACAGATGTTGTAATCATTTACATCATCATTGTTGGCAGAATCGTGCTGAGTAAACATTAGCTGTGGTGTTTCCTACATTGCAATGGTGACCACACCTCAGGGCATGTTCCATTGGCTGCAGAGTGCTCCATATGTCCTGAGGTTGTGGCAGTTGCTATGTAAACACAAATCTTCTAATTTGTATCTTTATCCTCTCCTGCTGTCCCCAGTCTTGGTGCAAAATGCTGGACTCTGCACCTTGTTTCATTCTCCGGCTTTCCCAGTGTTATCAATGTCATCATTGCTGCTTTTAGAATCTGGCCTCCGGAGCTCAGGGAATCCAAGCACTTTATTGATTTTGTTAAAAGGGGCCATGTAAGATCCACTCACTGACTGCAGACTCAGCAAATCTCATGATATTAATAGATTCACCTACCGACATCATAGTTTCCATCGTTGGATAAACCTGAGTCATCTCAGCCCATAATAAATAATGGAAACTTAAACACAATGCTCTCAGTTGTACCTAAGAATGGTTAAAGTGGAAAGCCACTCATCTGGCTGGGAGAGTGACCCAGAATAACTCTACATGAATACTGGCTCACAGCAATACGACCAGCAGCTACATCACACTGCCTCAATCATGCAAGGGGCATGTTGACCAGTGTCTCTGTGTAGGGCACTATTTGCAAATTCAGGATACCCGACAAGGACAGTAAACTGGCAATTTCCATGGCAGCCTGAAATCTTTTCAGATACTATCGTGTACAGTCAAGGGAGAATGACAAACTATTACAGGTTTCCCAGAAGCAGTCGTGAATTTCATCAATGACCTCCCTCATTCTAATCTCCCTTGGGATCTTGGTGCTACTGGTGTGAGACAAAATGAGCATTCACATTCCCAGCAGGAAATTCCTTTATTAACTCCACAAAACCTGGTTAAATTGGCTCCTTGTTAAAACCGAAATTCATTTGGTTCATCCCTCTTTATCCAGGGCTGTTGACACGTTGAATGATGTCATGGGGTTGAAGTATCCCAACACAAATTGTGAATTACCCAGAGCTAAGTGCACTCTCTGCAGTCACTCTAGGACTTAGTTATGTGTTTCGTCTTTGAGGAGTTAGACCACATAACTTGTCTTCAATGTACTTGGAAGGATTTCATGGAGTAAGGAAAGAGAGGCTGTTTCCTGTAACAAGAGAGCAAGTGAGGATTAAAAGCATAACACTGTGGATGCTGGGAATCTGAAAGAAACTTGGAAAATGCTGGAGAAACTCAGCAGGTCTGGCAGCATCTGTGGAGAGAGAAACAGTTTCAAGTCTGATATGACTCTCCTTTGGATCTCCAAAGTAGTAGGTTGTGGTCACAGATTTTAAAATAATTGACTGAAGAACCAGAAACGAGATCAGTTTTTTTATACTTAATGAGTCTTTGTGATCGGAACACGTTGCCTGGAAAGGCAGTGGAATCATATTCAATAGAAACTTTCAGAAAAGGAGTTGGATAAATACTTGAAAAGGAGAAGTTTGCAGTGCTATGGGGAAAGTAGGATGGCACTGTCAAAGAAGCAGAATAGGTGCAATACACCTGCTGGTGTATGAGACTTGGAGATTCCACAAAGTAAGACTCATTGTAAATCCAATCTCTGTCTTTTCAGGAGACACGTTCGACAGATCGATTATGGTGGATGGCGAAGAAGCAAATCTTTTGTTGTTTGATATCTGGGAGCAGGTTAGTCCTGGCTATGAATGGGCCAAGTCTAAGTGCAAATGTGTTATTTACTGTTTTGTCCCATTGTCAAACACCTAACTGGACATTGCCTTCTTCAGTACCGACATCACCTTGGTATTTCACCCCAAGTGGCTACTCTCAATGTGCCAGGGTTAGTGCGGAATGAAGGGCAGGATATTCAAATGTGATAATGACAAACACACCTACAGCAACCCACCCCCACGCACACTCACACATATATACACGCCTGCATACATAAACACACACACACACAAGCACACAGAAAGACACACGCACACACACATGCACGCACACACATATGCACACACACACACATGCACACGCGCACGCGCACACACACACACACACACACACACACACACACACACACACACACACACACACACACACT